GTGGGCCTGCTCAGAGGTCGTGACCTGGTCCTGGTCTGTTTCAAGTCCATCCCCACCATCAGGGGCCCTGGTGAAAGCACAGACCGGGACTTAGACTCCACGCTTTGGGTAGGTCTGTCAAGTGGGCTGCCAGAGGCACCACCTGGTGGATCATAACATTACCTATTTTGTTTTGGCAGACGTCTGGCATTGTTGAACAAACCCTTTAATCCATTGTTTAATCCAGATTGTTTGTAGAAATAAGCTCCTTTGAAGTGAAATTCTTTTGCTGGAGGGTACATCCAGAAGGAGTAGAGACATTTTACTGCTGACGAATCTCTTATAGAGCTAGGCCTAAGCTGCTGTTGGTGAACATTGCAGGAAATACAGCTACTCATTCTAAGGTTTTCCTGTCTGAAGAATACAGATTGCAAGTTTAGGCTTAAAGTTCTTTATCTCTGTATTGACTGTGACTAGAATTGTGGAGTTGTATTTTTGGTATTTTTTCGGTATTAGGTTTCCTAACCCGCTTTCCTTGAGTTTATCAATAAACTATTTTAATTGTTGTAATGTGACTGATGCCCAATTGCTTTTACCCCACAAAGAGTCAAGGATTCTGCTGTGAGGTTTAAAAGGCTAGCCCACTGAGCAATCTGGGAGTCCTTCCCACTTACCCAGGGGTAAAGGGGCGCTACAATGTGAATCACCAGCAGCTTTTCTGTTTTATTATACTTATAGTAATATACAGTGGGTAAAATAAGTATTGAACATGTCACCATTTTTATCGGTAAAAATATTTCTAAAGGTGTTATTGACGGAAATTTCACCACTTGTCAGTAACAACCCATGCAATCCATGCATACAAAGAAACCAAAATAAATAAGTTCATAAATTAAGTTATGTGTAATAAAATGGACTGATACAGGGAACAAGTGTTGAACATGCTAACTGAAATTAATTTAATACTTTGTGCAAAATCCTTTGTTGGTAATGACAGCTTCAAGACGCCTCCTGTATGGAGAAACTAGTCGCAATGCATTGCTTAGATGTGATGTGGGCCCATTCTTCCACATAGTCTTCAAATCTTGAAAGTTCCCTGGGCCTCGTCTATGAACTCTGACCTCTAGTTCTTTCCATAGATTTTCTATTGGATTTAAGTCAGGTGATTGGCTGGGCCATTCTAGCAGCTTTATTTTTTTTTTTTTTAAACCAATTGGGAGTTTCCTTGGCTTTGTGTTTGGGATCATTGTCTTGCTGAAATGTCCACCCTCATTTCATTATCATCATCCTGGTAGATGGCAGCAGATTATCAAAAATGTCTTGTTACATTTTTCCATTCACCCTTCCTTCAATGATACAAAGCCCCACACCATGATGTTCCCACCTCCAAACTTCACTGTTGGTATGGTGTTTTTGGGGTGATGTGCAGTGCCATTTTACCTCCAAACATGGTGTGTCTTATGGCAACCAAAGAGTTCAATTTTGGTCTCATCTGACCAGACTATATTCTCCCTGTATTTCACAGGCTTATCTAAATGTTGTGCAGCAAACTGTAAAAACAAGCTTCAACAGGGGTGGACTGACCATTCGAGCACTCGGGCACCGCCCGAGTGCCCGGGGTCAGTAAGGGGCCCCATGAAATGCCCCAGGTACCTTTTTATAGGCTTTTTTTGAGTGTGGGCAAGGACATTGGGGCCCCATGATCCCCTATTGCCTGGGGGCCCCATGAGTTGTCAGACCGCCCCTGAGCTTCAACATGCTTTCTCTTCAGCAATGGAGTCTTACATAGTGAGTGTGCATACAGGTCATGGCGGTTGAGTGCATTACTTGTTTTCTTTGAAACAAATGTATCTGCTAATTACAGGACTTTCTGAAGCTCTCCACAAGCGGTCCTTGGCTCTTGGACAACTCTGATCATTATTTTTACTCTTCTGTCAGAAATCTGGCGAGGAGCAAGAAATCCTTCTCTAACCAGTGCCATCAGTATGTTTTGCAACAATAAGGTTGCAAAGGTCTTGATAGAGTTCTTTGCTTTTACCCATCATGAGATGTTTCTTGTAATGAGACACCCTTTTATAGGCAAACCAGTTGAGACTGAACCAGTTGATATTAATTTGCACTGACAAGGGGCAGGATTTCTTTGTAATTACTAACAGATTTCAGGAGGTGTCTTGGCTCTCCATGCCTTTTTGCGCCTCCTTTTCTTCTTGTGTTCAATACTTTTTCCCTGTGTCATTCCATTTTATTACACATAACTTAGTTTGTTTTGGTTTCTTTGCATGTATGGATGTGGTGAAAATTTCATGTCAATAGCACCATAAAAATATATTTACCTAGAAAAATGGTGGCATGTTCAATACTTATTGTACCTGCTGTATGTATTTGCAACAGTGTTCATGTGTCACGGTCTGGTGTCAGGCTCAGAGACCAGTAGCTACAGCAGCGGAAAAGCTCCAGGTAACCAGCAGGATGGTGCACAAGCAGATCACCCTGGCAGATAACGCGAGCTCACCTGAGGTGCGGAGTCTAAGCAGAAACAGGTATTTACCAGAGCTCCTGATAGTAGAGATGGGTTTTGCTGCGTGTTAGTACCAGGTTACGATCCTCAGGATTGCCCCACCAGGTGGTGAGCAAGCCAGAGTCCAGTAGCAGAGATAGCAGGTATGGATCAAACAGAAGCGTAGTCAGTAAACAAGCTGAAGGTCGGTAACAAGTGGTTGCAGGCTGGGATCGGGCAGAAGAGTGGTCGAGGAACAAGCCAAACGTCGGTAATGAGTGATAGCAAAGGTACGGATGGCAGAAGGAGGGACGAGATATTGGCTGCAGAAGGCACAACAATCTGACAAACAGGAAGTGCAAAGAAATGGCTTAAATCAGGAAGTTCATGGGAGGAGCAAAGAGTTCAAGGTTCAGCAGAAAACAAGACACAAGGCAGGATTATCCAATGGATCAGGCAAAGTGGTGTCCAGCATTCCTTGTAGCTCAGTCAGAAGAGTTACTGCCAGACACAGCAGACGTCCTGGGTTCAAGTCCAGGTCCTGACATGTCACTGGAAGAGAGGACAGTGCAAATCCTCCCTGTTTCTTACTACTTCCTTTAAGTATCCTTTGCACTTACATTTCCTGAGCTAAATGGAAAAGAGTAAAAGAGAGGACCCCAACTGTCTTTATTTACTGTTCCTTTTCTTAGTCTTCAGAAACTGGGACACGTTTGTCTTAAGGTATTGATTTACACTGCCTTCTCTTCCAGTGACAGACACAGTTGTACATACAGTACATTAGTGTATGGATATGAAAATAGAAAAGCTTACCCAAGTGACTGTTAAAGTCACAGAAATTATGTTTTATTGTTTGGGGTGTTGGTGTATATACCAAACATTACTTTTTCCTTTTGGCAAATGTAAAATTTTCCTAAAACCATCAAGACTATACACTCATAAGTTACAGTGCCTTGGAAAAGTAAAGTATTCAACCCGCTTGAAAATGTCCACATTTTGTCATGTTACAAGCAAAAACGTAAATATACAGTTAGGTCCATATATATTTTTGGACACAGGCACAATTTTTTTTTTTTTCAGGTATTTACCAAAACAAATTCAAACTATAGTTATATAATGGATATGGGCTGAAAATGCACACTCAGGTTTGATTTAAGGGTATGTACATACAAGCTGGAGGAAGGGTTTAGGAATTACAGCTCTTAAAGAGTAGCTATCCCCCTTTTTCAAGGGACCAAAAGTAAACTGGACAATTGAATTAAAAGCGGTTTCATGGCCAGGTGTGGGCTACTCCTTCGTCATTTTCTTCATCAATTAAGCAGGTAAAAGGTCTGGAGCTGATTCTAAGTGTGGTATTTGCATTTGGAATCTATTGCTGTGAACCTACATCATGCGTTAAAAGGAGCTGTCCATGCAAGTGAAAACAGGCCATTGTAAGGCTTCAAAAATGAAACAAATCCATCAGAGAGATAGCAGCAACATTAGGAGTGGCCAAATCAACAGTTTGGTACATTCTGAGGAAAGAAGATTGCACTGGTGAGCTCAACATAAAAAAGCATAGACGTCCATGGAAGACAACAGTGGTGGATGATCGCAGAATCCTCTCTATGGTAAAGAAAACTCCATTCACAGCATCCAGACAAGTGGAGGACACTCTCCAGGAGGTGGGCGTATCATTTTAAAAGTCTGCAATCAAGAGAATACTTCACAAGAGCAAATACAGAGGGTTCACCACAAGGTGCAAACCATTCATAAGCCTGAAGAATAGAAAAACCAGATTAGACTTTGCCAAAAAACATCTAAAAAAGCCAGACCAGTTCGGGAAAAGCATTCTTTGGATGGATGAAACTAAGATTAATTTGCACCTGTCACAATCAGGGGTCAGGCTCGAAGATCAGTTGCTATAGCAGAGGAAAGGCTCACACCAAAACCAACAGGATAGGTACACAGGCAGGTCACCGTGGCGAAGGAGTGGGCTCACCTGAGGTGCGGAGGATCACCCCACCAGGAAGTGAGCAAGCAGAGGTTGAGTAGTGTATTAAGCAGGTAAGGATCAAACAGAAGCGTAGTCAGTAAATAAGCCAAAGGCCGGTAATGAGCAGTTGAAGGTTGGGATCAGGCAGAAGCGTAGTGGAGGATCAAGCCAAGGTAACTTTTTTTTTTTATGGTTGAACTGGATGGACTTTTGAAAAAACCTCCTAATAACAGTATTTTTTTTAAACATAAAAAACTTACAATAACTGTTCCAAATTTTTTACAGCCAGACTAACTATGTAACTATGTAATATAGACATACGTTCTCTAAATGTCTTCTCTTTCTCTCTCCTGAAATGGAAATTAATCTCTTGATAGCATCAACCTGCATAGGCTTGGGAGTGTTAGAACCCGGAGAGACTTTTGAATCCTGCTGAACCAAATGGACTAGCAGAGAGATGCATGCCACCACTATTTCCAAACATTCCCAGCCTCTCCTTCTTCCTTTCTGTAAGTCTTTGATCAATTCAGATACATAATTGGATGAAGGCTTCAATTCAGCTGTGTATTCAGTGACAGAGCATTTACCCTGCCGCAGACTATGCAACTTTGCTTCGGCAGTAGCACAGCAGCTGAGATCATCAAAAACCTGATTCATCGCGGTCAAAAAGGTCTCAAAATTATTTAGAGTGGCACTGTCTTGTTCCCTATACACCCTGGTCCAAATTATTATGCAAATGATATTTTTCTCATTTACCTAAATAATTGATGTAAATAACAGTCAGCATAATTCTCATGTTATCAACTATTAAGAGTACAATTCAAATTTTATTGAAAAAACCTCCTAATAACAGTATTTTTTTAAACATACAAAACTTACAATAACTGTTCCAAATTATTACGCACAGTAAGTTTCAAAACACTTTATAGGTTGTAAAGAACTGAAAATTGTCATTTGTTGTGTTTGCAGCATATTTACTGAAATCAAAAGCTAGTTCAATCAAACTTTTAACAACATTTTAACTTTTTAAACATTTTAACAGGTCACGTTACATTTTAACATAGGACCCCTTATTTGATAGCAGCTTCACAAGTCTTGCATCCATTGAACTTGTGAGTTTTTGGACAGTTTCTGCTTCAATTTGTTTGCAAGATGTCAGAATAGCCTCCCAGAGCTGCTGTTTGGATGTAAACTGCCTCCCACCCTCATAGATCTTTTGCTTGAGGATGCTCCAAAGGTTCTCAATAGGATTGAGGTCAGGGGAGGATGGAGGCCACACCATGACTTTCTCTCCTTTTATCCCCATAGCAGCCATTGATGCAGAGGTATTTTTGTAGCATGAGATGGTGCATTGTCATGCATGAAGATGATTTTATTACAGAAAGCATAGTTCTTCCTTCTGTACCAGGGAAGAAAGTGGTCAGTCATAAACTCCACATACTTTGCAGAGGTCATCTTTACACCTTCGGGGACCCTAAAGGGGCGGACCAGCTCTGTTTCCATGATTCTGGCCCAAAACATGACTCCACCACCGCCTTGCTGACGTCGCAGTCTTGTTGGAACAGGGTGGCTGTCCACCAACCATCCACTACTCCATCCATCTGGACCATCCAGGGTTGCACGGCACTCATCAGTAAACAGGACTGTTCGAAAATTAGTCTTCATGTATTTTTCTGCCCAGTGCAGCCATTTCTGCTTGTGAGCATTGGTTAGTGGTGGCCGAATAGAAGGTTTATGCACAGTTGCAAGACTCTGGAGGACTCTATACCTTGATGTCCGTGGGACTCCAGAGGCACCAGCAGCTTCAAATATCTGTTTGCTGCTATGTAATGGTATTTTAGCAGCTGCTCTCTTGATCCGATGCATGGATCTGGCAGAAATCTTCCTCAATGTGCCTTTATCTGCACAAACCCGTCTGTGCTCTGAATCAGCCACAAATCTCTTAATAGGGCAAAGATCACGCTTACGTTTTTGTGAAATATCTAATGTTTTCATACCTCGTCCAAGCCATTGAACTATTTCACTCTTTTCGGCAACAGAGAGATCCTTTTTCTTCCCCATATTGCTTGAAAATGGTGTTCTGCTTAATAATGTGGAACACCCTCCTTTAGTAGTTTTTCCTTAAATTGGGCTCACTTGCCAATCTAATTCTCACAGGTGTCCAAGATTGTTTTCAGTGATCAAAAGAGCCCTGAGACACAATGCCATCCATGAGTTAAACTGAAAAACAAAATATTTAATCTTTGTGACACTTAAATAGAATTTGCATAATAATTTGGAACAGGGTGTAAGGGGAGGCCCAAGCTAGAGCTTCCCCGTCAGAAGTCCAATAATAAACATTACCTTCTTATTCTCTGAAGGAAATACAGCATTTGGAAATATATACAACACTGATAAGGGAACCCCTGTAATGGCGGTGGTCGCCATTAAACTTAGATGGTTGAGTCTGGGTCATGTGTGTGTTAATATCATCTCGGTCAAACAGATGTCTCTGCAGATTATGAATCTCCCACTGTTGCCTATCCACTATACTTTCTTGATAGGTAACCCCAAATTCCTGCAGCTCAGCAATTTGCTGCCTAAGAGGAGCCACAATGTTTGCTATAGCGGTCTCCATGTTTGGGCCAGATTATTCTGTCACAATCAGGGGTCAGGCTAGAAGACCGGTTGCTATAGCAGTGGAAAGGTTCACACTGAAACAAGCAGGATAGGTACACAGGCAGGTCACCGTGATGGAGCAGTGGGCTCACCTGAGGTGAGGAGTCTAAGTACTAAGTGGTGTTCGCCAGAGCACCTGATGGTGGAGATGGATTTTGCTGCTTGTTAGCACCAGGTCACGGTCCTCAGGATCAATCCACCAGGAGGTGAGCAAGTGGAGGTCCAGTAGTGTATAAAGCAGGTAAGGATCAAACAGAAGTGTAGTCAGTAAACAAGCCAAATGTCGGTAATGAGCAGTTGCAGGTTGGGATCAGGCAGAAGCGTAGGATCAAGCCAAGGGTCAATAATGAGTGGTAGCAAAATATGGATGACAGCAGAGAAGGCAAAGAGCAAGATACTGGCTGGAGAGAGCAAAATTAATTCGATCATTCATATAATTGTCAAGGGAGCTGTCCCAAATTCCAGAAACATTGCCACACCGCTGAAGGCCTGGCTTCAGACCCAGGCTCTGATAGTACTCCCCTCCCCACAAGACATTCCATGGACGTCTTAGGTCCAGGCTTGTAGGGAAACCTCTGGTGGAATTCTCTTGTTAATCTAAGAGCATGAACCTTTTCTTCAGCTTCCCAAGAATTCTCCTCTTGCCCATATCCTTCCCATTGAACAAGTTATTGCAATTTATTTCTAAAGATCCTAGAGTCAAGAATTTTCTCCACCACATATTCTTCTTCACCCTGTACCTCAACAGGTGGAGGAGGTGGAAGAATTCTTCCAGAGAAGGGATTTTCATGAAATGGTTTAAGTAAAGATTTGTGAAAAACAGGGTGAATCTTCATACCGTCAGTGTCACGATCAGGGGGCAGGCTCAAAGACCAGTTGAAAAGACTTACCTGAAACCAGCAGGATAGGTACACAGATAGGTCACCATGGCAGAGGAGTGGGATCACCCGAGGTGCAGAGTCTAAGTACCAAGCTCCTAATGGTGGAAATGGATTTGGCTGCATGTTAGCACCAGGTCGTGGTCCTCAGGATCACCCCACCAGGAGGTGAGCAAGCGGAGGTCCAGTAGCATATAAACAGGTAAGGATCAAATGGAAGCGTGGTCAGTAAACAAGCCAAGGTCCGTAAGGAGCAGTTTCAGGTTGGGATCAGGCAGAAGCGTAGTCGAGAACAAGCCATGGGTCAATAACGAGTGATAGCAAAATACGGATAACAGCAGAGATTATAAGGAGCACAATACTGGCTGGAGAGTACAATAATCTGGCAAACAGGAAGTGCAGAGACATGGTTTATATCAGGAAGTTCATAGGAGGAGCAAAGGGTTCATGGTTCATGATAAACAAGATTAAGGTAGGATCATCCAAATAATTGTCAAGGGAGCTGTCCAGCATTCCAGGTGGCTCAGCAAGAAGAAACATTGCCAATCACTGCAGAAGGCCCAGGTTCAGACCCAGGCTCTGACAGTCAGGAATTTTTAAGCAATAGGTGACTGGGCTGATCTGAGCAGAAATCTGGAAACCTTTGGCCCAACTTTGCCGATGGAACATGAACCTTAAGATTTCTGGTTGATAGCCAAACCTCGTTGCCCATATGAAAGGTAGGAAGTGATCTGTGATGTCTATCAGCAGCCTTTTTATAACATTCTTGAGCCTCCCCCAAAGTCTTGATCAACTTCACATGAATCTCCTGCGATGTAGTTAATCTGTTGGTAACAGCAGGAATTTGAGTTGCGATAGGAAGATCAGGAATAAAAACTGGATTATACCCAATATTGAGGAAAAGAGGGCTTTGGGAGGTAGAGCTATGTTTAGAATTGTTATAGGCAAACTCTGCCATAGGAAGATAGTCCACCCAGTCATCCTGAAGACAACTGACAAAACACCGAAGGTACTGCTCCAAAGTTTGATTGGTCCTCTCGGTCTGAACTTTAGACTGAGGATGAAAAGCAGAGGACAGGTTGTTACACCTAAAGCTGTACAAAGGCTTTTAAAATTTTTTGAAGTGAAACTATACTCCTCTGTCATCTTGAACCATCAACTCAGTTTGTTCAGCAGAAGGTAACCCTTAACCGGTATAAAATGAACCACTTTAGTAAGACGGTTGATGACTACCAAGAAAGTGGTCATTTCTTCTGAGGGAGATAAATCGACCACAAGTCCATAGAAATTGACCCCCATGGTATTGATGGAACAGAAAGTGGCTGGAGCAACCCCAAAGGAGAAGCTCGGGGTTTCTTTTTTACTTACGTCAGATAGGAGGCCACATAGCGTTTGACATCTTTCTTATAACCAGGCCACCAGAAGGAATGTTTCAAAAGTTCTTCTCTCTTAGAAACCCCAAAATGCCCCGCAAGTTTAGAGTCCTGCATGAATTTGAGGGCTTCAATCCGAGCAGATTCCGTTACATAGAGACGATGTGCTTGAGTCCAAAAGCTGTTCTTGTATTCAAGGTTAATGAAGGAGGATGATTGAGAAGTGGGTCATTCTCATACCTCATACCTGTGGCCCCTAGGAAGTTCTTTTGAGTTAGGATTGTACATTCAGAGTTGCCTTCCTAAGGAGGCTCAGGCAACATTCTTGATAAAGGCATCAGCCTTACCATTCCTCAATCCAGGTCGATATGAGATAATAAAACTGAATCTGGAAAAGAATAAAGACCAATGTGCTTGTCAAGAAGACAATCTCTTGGCAGAGCAAATTAATTTCACATTTTTATGATCAGTGAGAACAGTTACAAGATGATTAGCCCCTTCCAGCAGATGCCTCCATTCAGAAAAGGGTTCCTTAATTGCCAGTAACTCCTTATTCCCAGTGTCATAATTCATTTCAGCTGAAGACACCAAACAAGAAAAGTAAGTACAAGGATAAAGCTGCATTTTTTTCATATCTTTTTTTTGCTGAGGCAGGATAGCTACCAAGGCAGAGTCAGAAGCATCCACTTCCACTATAAAGGGTAGTTCAGGATCGGGATGTATCCAAATTGGTGCAGAAGTGAAAAGAGCTTCTAGCTTTACAAAAGCAGCCTGTGCCTCAGGGGTCCACATGAAGGGTAGCCATTTTATTGTCAGCTGTGTAATTGGAGCTATCACCTTAGAGAAGTTTCTTATGAATTTTCTGTAGAAGTTGACAAACCCGAAGAAACATTGAATTTCCTTAACATTTCTAGGGGCTGGCCAATCTACCACTGCTTTGAGCTTCTTGGGATCAATGCTTACTCCTTCTGGAGAAATATATCCTAAAAACTGGATCTGGGTTTGTGCAAACTCGCATTTCTCCAATTTAATGTAAAGATCTATTCTTACTTAATCTTTCAAAGATGGTGCAAACATGTTTGTGGTGCTCTTCCAGATTATCGAAAAAGATGAAAATATCTTCCAGATAAGCAATCAAATGGGTCCAACAGATCATGAAAAACATTGTTGATGAAGTGTTGAAAAGTCACAAGGGTGTTGCAAAGTCCAAATGGCAAGACCAAGGACTCAAAATGCCCATACCTGGTTTTAAAAGGTGGTTTTCCATTCGTCTCCTTGACAAATGTGGACAAGATTATATGCCCCTCGTAAGTCAAGTTTTGGAAAGATTTTTGCAGAACGGAGTCTTTACAACATTTCAGAGATCAAAGGGAGTGGATAATGGTTTTTAATAGTGATTTTTATTCATGTCCATGCAATTCAATGCATGGACCCAAGGTGGAGTCTCTCTTTCAACAAAGAACAGGGCTGCTCCTGTAGGAGATGTTGAGTGTCTAATAAAGCCCTACTCTAAATTCTTATCAAGCCACTCCCTGAGCACCTTTAATTCAGGTTCTGACAGATTGAAAAGGCAGCCAAAAGGTATTTCTGCCCCTGGGAGCAGCTCAATGGGACAATCATAGGGGCAATGAGGAGGTAATTGATTGGAATTTTTCTTATTACAGACATCCCAGAACTCGGGGTATTGTGGAGGCAAGTTGTCATATGACTGGATAGTTACCACATCAACTTGCGATTCCTTGGCCGGGGAAGAACATGTTCGACAAAGTTCCCTACAGTATTTCTTGCAATGGGGGGGGGGGACATAAAATCTATTGTCCGTGCTCCCCAGTTGATGGAGGGATTGTGAGTGGAGAACCAAGGAACTCCCAGGATGATAGGAAACTTGGGTGATGCAATCAGCTGAAAGCATCGGTCTCACGATGATCAGCCACAAATTGGTGTACCAGAGGAACCGTTTTATGGGTAACAGGTCCTGAAGATAAGGGTGAACCATCAACCGTCTCCTTATCAATAGGAGCAAATGTATTTCTTGCTTGAATATTATTGCTGTAGGCAAATTATATATCCATAAAGTTCCACCCAGCCCCGGAGTCCAGCATTGCTGAGATGGAGACTTCACGGCCCTCTGAGACAAATTTAATAGGGATGACAAAATGAGAGAGTAGAGAGATTACTTTATTTTCTTCAGGAATCAGTGAGGAGACTGGATAATAGAGTTTATTTGTTCAGGCACAATCACATCAGTCATAGCAATTGTTCTTCTAACTTTGTTAGGACAATTAACTGCATAATGACCAGAGTCCACACAATATGGAGGAGCTCAGCTATGAGGAAAGATTAGAGGAACTGAATTTATTCTATCTTGTGAAGAGGAGATTAAGGGGTGGATATGATCAACATGTATAAATATATCAGTGGTTCATACAGTGAACTCGGTGTAGAGCTATTCACCCTGAGGTCATCACAGAGGACAAGGGGGCACTCTTTATGTCTGGAGGAAAAGAGAATTAATCTCCAAATATAGAACGGTTTCTTCACAGTAAGAGCTGTGAAAATGTGGAATAAACTCCCTCAAGAGTTGGCTTTGGCCAGCTCAGTGGATTGCTTTAAAAAAGGCCTTGATTCTTTCATGGATACACAGACTATAACAGGATACTAACATTTATAGTTAAAGTTGATCCAGGGAATATCCGGTAGCCCCTCAA